GGGGGGGGGGGGGGGGGGTTGTATGGCCTATCCCCGCTTTCCTGTCCCCCTTTCCCAGCTGCTGCCTGCTGCTATGGATTGTATGTGCGTCAACTACACACTCTATGTATGCATACCACGGTACTTTCATCATTACCGCGATTCGAGTCTTTTAGGTCGAAATCCATGTGGTGGGGCAAGTAACGCTGTCTACCCCACCAGTGTGGTGGCGGCGATGATATTGCCGCCGGACGTGGCACAACGGTGACACTCTAGCGGGATAATCGGACAAAAACACATAAGTCTGACTTATGCATAGTCTATGCATATGCATACCATACGTTGGTCCGAGACGAGGCCATGTGCGACGAAAATCGGGTTAAAGGCGCTCTGAATTAAGTCCGAATTTAATTCCTTGCTTTCTCCCTCAGTCACTCGTTACATATCTGTCGTTCACTCCCAGAAAACACCGAACAAGAGAGGAACGCATGTACGCTTGCTCCCTCAAAACAATCAAGGGTCCGGTGTGTACTTCTACAAGATACACCCGCCCGGATGGTAGCTTGGACCAAGGGTCCATTTGCCGTGACACGACAACCGGCTGTACTTCCATCCATCATGGAGAATATGTGGCTACGCGGTCCCTGTCGTTGCTCAGCTATCGAGGTCGCAACGGTTGTATCGTACCATAGGTCTGAGGTGGTTGATGCACTCCACGAGTTCAGGGAGCGCTCGGACTTTGAGCATGAAGACAACAACGTAGAATCCGCGAACCGCCTATCACTTGCATATAGTCTTCGTTGCGACCTTCAACCAGTGCGGGCCATTCTAGGGGCGTATACCACATGCCTCCCGCCGATCACCCTCGCCGCTAGGCCGCACATCCGGCAAAAGGTTTGGGAGAAACCGCATTTGGGAGATCTTCGGCACCGTCAAGCCAGGAAACGAACACAGACGAACCGACGGGGCCGACGCAAAGTGAAACGGAGCAGTGGCACAGGCATCATGACCGCATTTTCGGGACGACACTTGAGAAAAAAACTTTGCCGACGGCGGCGTATTCAGCGGGACAGGCCTCGCTAACTGGAAACGTGTGACGACCGCCGCCAACCTCAGAGACCACCGGCTGGAGCAGCTGCGGGAGGTGCGGTTGGAACCTGGTTCGAAAGGACCACCGAGTTTCAACACGAGGTGCCGCAAGTTGCGCAAGGTACCACACCCCTGGAGGCAAATTTTGAGCTCGACTACTTCACGACATGAAGGATGCCAAAACCAAATGAAACGTTTTCGGCAAGCTCTCTCGACGAGACAGATTCAAATCCACAATTTTTTGTACCGCCACTGGTTGTGCTCCAGAGCTCTAGTCGAGCTTTGAAAAACGATCCAGGGGGTTGCGGTATCTTGTGCAATCTACGCTAGGCGTTGAGGGAGTTCGGAGATCAACCGATGAAGACATGCGTGCCGCAAACGCTCGTCAATTTGGTGTGCGTATTAGCGTCTCCATCAAAGGACGCTTCATTTACATTCGAAGACCTCGCCTATCGTCCATTATGGACTCTACATTAGTTCGACAAAAAAGGATGCGGGACACCGCTTTTCTTCGGATCAACGCAACCTCGACGAGACGCAACCGTTCTGTGGCACTGAAAAAAAAGTAGTAAACCTGAAGCGCGCAGAAACAAATGTGAAAACCGGACATCGATCGAGGTTCATCCCAACTGTGAAGATGGAAACACAAATCTGGTGGAATTTCCGCGATTCGACGCCGCGCTGTGTTGCCGTGTTGCCCTGCATTGTTCGCGCCCAAAAGCCCTGCGGCATTCGCATAAGTCTCCGAATAACAGCCGTAAAAGCAGAGCAAAACCTGTCGTTGCCCGTAGTGGAACCTCTCCAACGCAAAAGCGACAGTGACGTGCCTCTGCCGCACGACGCCTCGCTCTAGATTCTGGGCTTCGCCATAATCATTTCAGACATCTGTGGAGAGGACGAGAGCAAGCACATTCCCCGCTGGCGCTGATACCCACCCTCCGAAGAAAAAAGACGAACAAGAGCGAAAGAAGAAGGAAAGAAAAAAAACGGTCTTCACAGCACGCTGCATCAAAGCGCCTAACAAAACAACCAACCTCGCTTCGACAGCAACCGCAGAACCTACTACTGCTGCCGGAGGGCAGCCTCGAGCAGCTGAAGCGCCAGCGGCGCGTACGGCGGCGCCTCACTCCTGATGCAAAGCCGGGGTGCCGCGGTGCCCCCCCCCACCGGGAAGGTCACTTCTGCCAACATGTGGAGCTGGACCAGCTTAAAAGAATAGTAGACAATCTGTCGGTGGCAGGGGAGGAAGGGAGCGGAGGGAACGTGGTCATGTTCCAGAAACAGGCGAGCATAACTAATGTAACACGGTGAGAGCTTGGGTGGTCACCAAACACCGTATCGTCGTTCTTCACGACGATAACCCCCAGCAAATCCCACCATGCCGAGTGAGAAAACGGGCACAACGTATGTGCCTCATGGAGATCACGACCTAGAAAGGAGACTGACGGACGCAAGACACGACCGTGGGACTTTCGAGGGCGGGCTGCTCTAGGGCCTCCCCGTCACCGCGGCTCGGTTCATGCCGAAACACCTCCATCCACACCGTCCGCCTGGCGCATCAATCGATTACTTTCATCCCTACAGAGACACTCGTTCGCCCCCGACGGTACCGGTACATGTCAATGATATCAGCACGAAAACTGTTCAGCGAAGGGCCTGCGTCTTCCCCCGTCACCGTCCTGGGGTGGAAACATAGCCCAGCGTACATACGTGGAAGGACGTGTGTCTTCGGTCGGCCGCAAAAAAACACTGCATGTAGTCGCCAAATCTTGTTCTTCCAAAGTACGACGCGGAAACCTTTCTTTACGACCTGTTCGGCATCGTCGCCCCGTCATATGAAATTCGGGCGACAACCGGGCTGGCCCCCCATATCATTCACGCCAAAAACACAACACAAGGGAACGCGGCTTATCATCCCCGGGGTGAAAACGCACACAAACCAAGACGCCACGAATAACACAAAAACCAAGGACCCCATCTTCACAAATACAAGCAGTAGCAGCAGCACCAGCAGGAGGAGGAGCATACCGTAGGCAAACAAGCGACTCGCCTGTTGGCCGGGGGCCTCTCTGCCGGCGACGAAGTAGATGTTGCGCTCCTGCAGCTTTCGGGTCACCGCCGAAACGTCCCCGGAGAAGGGCAAGCCTTGCGCCTACGGGTGCCAAAACGTGTGAATGAAAGAGGCGAGGGGGGTTGGGCAAGGAGATGCCCTTCGGACAAAAACTTTCAGCCTACCGTACCTCTCCGCTCCAGTCTCGAAAGTCGACATGGCCCTTACCGAGTTTAACACACACACCCCCAACGGTTTGCCAACAAAAACTGTTGGGTGAAAACGGGGAGTCTCGAGAACGCAGGGATAACGGCCTCCGCGCATCCGTGAGCAACCTCCTTCGAGCACAAGCTCTTCGAAGAATATGGTACGATACCCAATACCAACATTCCACGGGGCAACACGAAATGCCCGCCTTCACCAATCCCAACTGACTTCAGTTTCATGCACAGCATTTCTGGTCGAACGTCTCCGATTCTAAGTATTCTCAAAGTGAAGAATTCACAACTCTCAAAGCAGGATGTATCTCGACGAACTATCTGCAAACTTAACACCCAAAACGTGCACATATTGGCAAATGTACACGAGACATGATGTGGCATCGTTCTCGAAGAGTCGAGACGCCCCGGATCCCAAGGAAGAAAAATCCCTAACGGCTCGAAACCCGCACCAATCACCCAACGAATTGACAGGCAACTAGAGGGGGGCGTAGCCAGCCGGTTGCAACAAAATAAAACAAAGGGCTGTCCCAACTAAGTTAGTCACCTCCTTGGAAACCTCGAGCGAGTCGTCGACGCTCTTCCATGCCGCCAAGAACTGGTCCCTACCCATCGGCCCCGCCGGCGGTAGCATCGTGCTCAGGCCGTCCACCGGGATGTTGAAGTACAACACCGCGCCCGTCTGCGTCGCGGCAGGGGGACATGGCCGTAAGAGACGGCGGGGAGGAACGCCACATTGACGCTAGATTCAGCGCCAACCGCACGCGCGCGCACGACTGCCGCCAACAACCCATGGACAGGGAAAGACCAAAAAGCCTGGACCAGCTCGGTGGGCGGCGTCGTCAACGACAACACAACAGCTGAGTCTGTCGAGACGAGGCGAGATCATCATGGCGGCTACAACAGCCAAACACGTCGTGCCCCTCAACCATTCCGGAATACCGCGCGTCACACAAGACATGACAACAGCCAGACAGACGCACCTGCATATTCTTCAGTGCCGTCTGCACCGGGGCCCCCACGGGACTCCCTGGCGGTGCCAGCATCGCCGGCGTGAGGCTCATGGGAAGAGAGTACGACGCCGAGGCACCTGAGAGCGATTGGTTGGTTACCATAATCAACGTCAGCAAAGCACCGTATAGTCTGGAAAACTCTTTCGGGGGGTGTCGCCAGTGTCGCCACGTGGATGATATTTTTCCATCGCCGAGGAAAGGGGCACATTTTGCACATGACTGGGAGGCCATCGTCGGTGATGGTCACCCCTCTCCCCTCTGTCCAGATCTCGAACTTTCAACATAAGACAGCAGCCCCATACAACAACAGCCCAGAAACCAACTTGGAGATACCAGCGCCGGTCAACTTGTTGGGGTTGCTGACAGACCGCAGGCTGCTGAGACAGATATTGTTTCGAACTCGGTCCACCAGGAGGCCGCCATCAAAACAGAGGCAGGTGTGCCTGCCACCCGGCTATTCTGCCGGAATCGGCACCACACGGGGGCACGGCAGAACAGCTTCTAGTCCGCCGCCTCCAAGGCGGAATCGAACAAACCGAAAACAGCTCAACGACGGCCTCTCCGAACCCCACAACCGCCGTCTTGTGTTGGCCATGTTCCACCATCAGTCGTGACTACTCTCAAGGTGTCATATCTATGACACATTTCCGACCGTTCATCCTCTTCCCACCACAGCCAACAGTGGGTTGGTTCATTGCTAAATAATTTGTCCGGGACTCTGAACTGAGGATAAGAGATGAATTCGCTGTGATACACTTAAGAAAAAAAAAAAAAGGCAAGCATGACTGGCCTATGGTCATCAAACCCCATGACTAGTCCATGGCCATCGAACAACATCCGGCCATTAACTCCTGTTTTCACGCCGATACACACCTGGGGCGAGTGGCTGGTCGAAGGCGATCTGCTGCTGCGCGGGCATGATGCCGAACGTGTTCTTGTTTAGCTGGACCGCCAGCTGCTGCGTCGGCGCAGCGTCGCGGTTGTTCACCTGTCATGTGAAAAGAAAAAAAATCGCCGGCAAGCGTACGTCAAGAAAGGACGAGCTCAGAATACAGAGGGTTTAGGTTAATCATAGATGAAAGACTAGTATCGTGAAGCTCCTATTAGAACCACCTTAACACCGAGCGACAACATGGATCCACGTGACAGAACCCGCATTGTGTGGTGGCAGGGCAGGAGCGGCGTAACACCACGATTTGGGCAAAAAAAGGCAATTCGCGAATTCTCCGGAGAGGGGGTAAAAACTCGCGCCCTTGAGCGCACGGCGCAGAGAAACACATGCCTTGACCAGTTTACACTTGTCGTCAGTTCGCAACAAGAATAGAATCGATCGAACACGGGAGCATGCACAACGTCGCATCGCAGCCGCACTACTGGAGTGGGGGGAGACGCGGTAACAACGACAACAACAACAACAACAGATGCATCACGTGCAAACCATGACAAACGTGTGGAGGATAGGCAACTTACGTCCATGTCGAGGTAGAGCGCTCCGCCGCGGAGCACGAACGCCCCCAAAATCTCCAGCCCCCCGCCCTGGGCAGCGGGACACACAACCTGTGCCCGGCGAGGATCGGACAACCAAGACAAGACAAGGCAAGACAAGACAACAGAGACAGACAAGGGCGGAAGTCGTGGAGTGAACGCCTGGACGGGTGAATGTATAGCAGCTGCTTTTTGCGGACATGTCTAAGCTCTTATAGACTAGCCGGGCCAGTTCTTCCAATAAAAGGAAGCTACTCGTATTGTATTGGGAGTACCAAGCAAAACGGCGACCAACCGGCGGCATGTGCGCATAACCCCTTCCGTCTGCAAAAACAGAAGCCTCGTCCAAGCCATTGGCCCGTACGGAAACAAAAAGACACCGCCACGACAAAACACACACGAGGCCACACACACACAAACGCGTCTCGCACGCAAAAAAAACAGCGAGCGGCGCCTCATGAACAACTCCTCCTTCTCCTCCTTGAGGACGCGCAACCGATTGCAGCAGCTGACGCCCACGACCGTTAAGCCACACCCGCTCGCTCGCCCGCTCGCTCGCCCGCCCGCCCGCCCGCATGCATGCATGCATGCACTCACCGGTTTCTGCACGGGGGCAGACGGGGGCGCAGCCGCGCCCAGCGCTCCGAACAAGTCAACAATCCCTCCTCCCCCAGGTGCCGCTGGTACTGCCGCCGCCGCCGCCGCCGCCGGTGCGGGCGCGTCGTTCACGGAGAGGTCATCCATAGACAAGAGGTCCACGGCCCCGCTGCCGTTGGAGGTGTCTGAGGGACCCGTTAGCCCGTCGGCGTTGTTGCTGTCGTAGTCGTAGTCCTCGTCGTCCTCGTTGGCGTACTCCTGGGGGGCGGATGGGCGGGGGGGACGACTCTCATGTTATGCCTTAGCGGTTAGACCAATGACTACGCGTCCTCGAGAGTACCTAGCATTGTGTCCCCACAGGACCGATCACCGATGGCCAATCGTTCCTTCCGACTTTGCCAAAGGTGTCTCAAAAACATCTTTCCTAGCCTCTATCCTATCGGGAACGGGAGTGGGGAGGGGGGGGGGGGACCTCACGTAAGCGCATGCTGTAGTCGTTAGACAAGTGACCTCCCACATGTACCGGGACGGAGCGAGATGCCGGGTTTTCATCGGCCCAGGCTACGGTTCACGAGGGGGGGTGATATGAATACGTCACGAATCACCATGCGTGCGCGAGGGGCACTGATAGGCCATNGGGGGGGGGGGGGGGGGGGGGGGGGGGGGGGGGGGGGACCTCACGTAAGCGCATGCTGTAGTCGTTAGACAAGTGACCTCCCACATGTACCGGGACGGAGCGAGATGCCGGGTTTTCATCGGCCCAGGCTACGGTTCACGAGGGGGGGTGATATGAATACGTCACGAATCACCATGCGTGCGCGAGGGGCACTGATAGGCCATCGCGTCCCAAGAGGAGCGCTCGACCTTCAACAAACACCAAACAAGGCACGGAAGGACCGAGAAAGCCATACCTAGCACAAAGACCATATCCCGCGGAAAAAGTAGGACCCAATCATGCCATGCACGAGAACCTCAAGAGCCGACCCGAAGCAGCGGCGGAGGAAAATCAAAACGATTCGCGGGGATCCGCTACAAGCTGTGCTATGTATGCACCCAGTATGGGGTTGACCATAAGATTGCTGACATGTCCATCGACCACTCAAGATCAAGCAAAAAGCAAACCCTGCACGATTCCCGAACAAATGCCCATGCTCGCTGAGGCACCCATGCCTCTTCTTTCGTCTCCACTCCCGCCCCCCGACACACACACGAGACACATATATTTTCGGTGAAAAAAAGCATCCCCCCCCCCCCCCCCCCCCCCCCCCCCCCCCCCCCCCCCCCCCCCCCCCCCCCCCCCCCCCCCCCCCCCCCCCCCCCCCCCCCCCCCCCC